TAATAACAACTGACTAAAATAAACACAATTCGTTGCTATGGATTACATAAATAATCATTGATATAGTGATATCAATGGTCGGTGTCAACATTGGTTTCAACCCTTTCAACTCCATTGACACTTTCCACTCCGGAACTGTTCGGAACAGGCGAAATATTGCACAGCAAATTGATGACGTTCTTGGAGCGTTCTACAGTTCGGCCATCCTGATAATGGTTCGTCCTCGAACCTCAATTGTGCTGGACACCATTATTGAGTTGGTCGGTCAGCTGATGTTAAGATCATCTCTATCGTAGTCCTGAGGAGACCTATAGAAAAAGAATTGATGCTTTATCTATTTCTTTTAATATATATATATATGGCCCATTTGTGTTTTGTATGCTTTGTACGGAACTGAGTAGCAAATTTTCATCTACTATGCTTAATTTAGGACTGAGTAGGCTTCTATCAATCAGTGTTGGTTGATATGATAGGCTTCCGAATCACAGCTAATTCGGGAATCTAGTCAGATCATAACTCCTCTTAAGTCGAACTGATTGAACGGCAGTTCTCATTGACTAGGCTTCTGAATGTGTGCAGGATAATTTTCAGAACCAGCCAAACCACCTGTTAACCACAATACATTTCAATTGCCATTCTAACCCCTTCCCCCCCTTTTGTTTTCAAGTCATGTCATTTGGTAATGTTTCAGTTTTCGTTATTGTTAAATTTTCTTTAATTTAATTCTCATTTACCCGTAAAATGGTTCAAGCTGATTTGTATTAGTTCCAAAAATTAACCTGTTATTCAGGATGAGTGCCTCTAAAATAATATACATATTATCTTAGGCTTCCAACCTCATTAATGACCAGAGAGATTGGGCATCTAGGAATGCTTAGGCATCTGCGTAATGCAGGCTTTCGGTCATAACACCTCTGAGACTTGTTCAATAGGACCGAGCTTCTGGAAATGTTATAATTTCCAGGTTTAAACATCTGACTTTGCCAGGCTTGCAAAACATCAAGTTCTGCGCTTCCGAAAGTGTAATAATGACTTATTACTATCGTATCGGGTACGGTATCAATAAACAATATTCACTTGATGCTGTTTCGTCAAGAAAAATACCATGTTAAATATGAAACAAGACACAAACTTTTTTTTTTTTTATTTATTTGTCAAACACAAACTGATACAACAAATCAACAACAATTTTTACCAAGGCTGACATTCCTGATCACATAATGTAATCCAGGGCTTCAGACTATCTACAGCTATGATGCTTGTAGAGTGTCTGGAACTACGAATATCTCGTACAACATATCTGTCTTTGTCCAATGCCTTAACAATTCTGAAAGGACCTTTAAATCTAGGCAATAACTTTTTTGGACCGCTACCTGACCCAAAATTGCTCTTATGCACCAAAACTAGATCGTTAACATTAAATCTGTGGGGAGCTTTTCGTTTTTTGTCAAAACGAATTTTTGCCTTTTCTTGCTGAATCTGAATATTTTGAAAAACCTGTTCTCTCAAAGTCTCTAAATTTTCTTGGGCCAAATTATTTCTTACAACAGATAGAATTTTTGCATCGGCGATAGGTTTTGGATTTAATCCCATGAGGATTTCATAAGCTGATTTTCCTGTTGTCTTGTTAACTGTAGAGTTTATGCTGAATTGTATCAGTTTCAAATGAGTATCCCAATTTTCCTCGTTATCGTCGTTGGCCGAATAGCATCGTAATGAATTTAAAATTGTCAAATTATACCTCTCACACTGCCCATTTGCACGGGGTGTGGCAACAGCATTTTTGATGTGTTTGATATTATACTTTGAACAAAAATTTGACATAGACTTTGATGTAAACGCCGATCCTCTATCAGAAATAATTCGGTCTGGGGTTCCAAACAAAAATATTAAATTCTCAAGCACTTTTATGACATGTTTTGTTTTTGTGTTTCTGACTGGCTCTATAAACAGGAATTTGGTGAAGGCATCAACTATCACGAAAATGTGAGTGTTTTTGTGTTTTGAGTTTACAAATGGACCCAAATGATCAATGTGAATTGTTTGAAAGGGAATTGTTGTTTTTGGGATAGGGTGAAGAAAACCTGGTTTGCGCCCTGTTGTGTTTTTCATATATAAACAATTGAGGCAGGATGCTACATATTTCTTGACAAAATTCCTCATCTTCTTAAACCAATAGTTTTGTTGGATTCTATGTAGAGTTTTTTCAAAACTAAAATGCCCGGCATCATCGTGATTAAGACGACAAATCAACCATCTACAGGATGTTGGAACGACCCACTTCATAGAGTTGTTGATTTTGCGATACAATATATTATTCCTTAAAGTATAATTTGCAAAATAATTGTTGTTTGATGGATTTTTATCTGATTGGAGGATTTCTATTATATTTTTAATTTGCTCATCTTGACTTTGTACGGCAGTTATCCATTCTGATTCAGTTAAATTGATTATATTTGATACTGATAAGTGATCAGATATTGGATGTCTGCTAAGGTAATCTACGTGATTCATGGATGTACCCGCTCGATACTCGATGTCGAAGGTGAATTCTTGAATCTCAAGCCACCAACGAGCGATTCTTGGTACCAAATCCTTTTTCAATGCGGTTGCCCGTACTGCGGAGCAATCGGTATAAATGGTGAAATGTTTTCCTAAAAGATATATCCGAAAATTTCGTAACGAAAAAACTACAGCCATGGTTTCTAGTTCATATGAATGGTACTTGCTTTGTTCATAGGTACATTGTTTGCTGAAATAAGCTACTGGGTGCCATTTATCACTATGTTTTTGCATCAATATTCCCGCTACACCGATACTACTAGCATCACAATGTAACTGTATTGGAAAATTATGATCGAAAATTTTAAGAACTGGGTTTTCGGCTAATATACTTTTTAGTAATTCAAAAGCATTGTCTTGTTCTTCAGTCCACATCCACAAGGCATTTTTCTTAAGTAATTTTGTGATAGGCTGTACAATAAATGCATAGTTTATGATGAATTTTCTAAAATAGTTTGCCAAACCACAAAACTGTCTCAGTTCTTTTTTATTTGTGGGTGGTTTGAGTTTGAGAATCGCGTCGACTTTTAATTTACTTGGTTGTACCCCTCGCTCAGAAATTTCACGGCCAAGGTAACTGATTTGGGTTAATAAAAATTTACATTTGGTTGGTTGTATTGTTAGGCCATATTCAGCTAGAATTTTTAATACATTTTCAAGTTTTATGAGACCTTCGTCGTAAGTTTTGGATGGAACAAGTATATCGTCTAAGTAGGGGAATGCGGTACCGGCTTCTAGTTCATTCACGATTTTATTCATCAAACGTTGGAAAACAAAAGGTGCATTGCACAGACCAAAACTCATCCGAAGGTACTCATAATGACCATCTGGGGTTATAAATGCTGTCTTAGGTATGGATTCGGCTTCCATGGGTATTTGATAGTATCCGGAAAATAGGTCAATTAAGGTGAAATACTTAAAATTTGCCAATTTATCAATCTGGTCTTCTATTAAAGGAAGTGGAAACTTTTGTTTGACAGTGATAAGGTTCAATTTACGGTAATCTACACATAATCTTAAACTACCATTGGGCTTTGGCACTAGAATAACAGGACTGGCATAGGGAGAGGTTGATTCACGAATTATATTGTTTTGTAGTAAATCTGATACAATGTCTTTTAATGCATTTCTTTGATTTTCCGGTAATCTATATGGGTTGCAGCAAACAGTGTTTGAACTCATTAACTCAATTTTCATTTCAACGCGATTTGTTTTACCCATTTCACTCAGATCGAGCGCCACACATTTGCGATATTTATTTAAGAGTTCCAAGATCGCAGTACTATGATTTAAGTCACAAGATATGTTATTTTCAGATAATGGTTTTGAAAATTTAATATTATTTATGTGCGCAATATCTGAACACGTACTGAATTTTATTTCACTACCGTTTTTATGAAAAGCCACATGAGGTTGGGATAGGTAATTATTACCAACTAATATGTCAGCTGGGCACATAGCGTTTGGCACCACAATAATGCCGATTACTGCACTTACCGAATCTATCGTAATTTCGCAAACTGTTATTTCACGACTTTGGTAAATCTGCCCTGAAAAACACTTTAGAAATTGGGGGTGGCTTTTTACTATCTTCAGGTCAAGTTTTTGTGCTATGGATATTTTTAATAATGAACATTCACTGCCAGTGTCTATAAGACCTGTTATTATGGTATTATTTACATAAATGTCCTTAAAATATAAATTAACAAAGTGTTTTGTAACGAAAAATATACGTTGGTCCGCTGATTGTCATGAGCTTTTTGAAAAATTTAGTTCGCGTTTCTTTTTGCGACAATCTTTCTCATAATGTCCGGTAATTTTACAAAAATTGCAAACTATTTTATGAGCACGACGGGAAAAGTTTCCAACCGCGTTGTGAATCGTGGGGCGCTTTTTAGGACAGTTGTAACTGTTATGACCTACGTCATTACAATTATAACATCGCATTTTAAAAGTATTGTTTTTATTATCCGCGCGACCATGGCCATTCAAATTTGAATCGCAACCTCTCAAATATGTTAATAAATCTTCGGTCGATTTATAATTGTTAGCAAGGGCCATTTGTCTAATGTCTTTATTTTTAATTCCATGCACAATAATGTTTACTTTTTCTTGTTCGGGTATTTCCCAGTTTAAACCTTGTAGTTTATTTAACTTTGCCGCGAAATATTTTATTAGGGTTTCATTGTCGTCGGAAGAATACATTGCCGCGTCTTTAAATAAAAGTCCCGTGCTTTGAGTGTCCACGTCAAACGTACAACGCAGAGCGGTTTTTAATTCAGCCCAATTTTTGTGAGCAGATTCGCCATTTAGATACCAATCGCGTGCGCGACCTATCAATTTCGAAATCGCGAACCGAGTTGTATTAACATCGTCCCATCTTGAAAAATAAGCTTTTTCTTCTACGAGACGAATCCACTTATTTATTGTTATCTCACTTTTTGCGGGATCGAAATCCGGAACATTTTTCCAAGATAAATTATGGTTAATACTGACCTTATGACTCTCCTTTAATATTGTTACCTCTCTTTGCAATAATAGCAATTGCTGTTGCACCGTTAAAGGTGGAGTCGAAGAGCGTTCACTAGAACTACCCTCCAAAGAACCTGACTGCAAATTCTGGGCTTCAAAAGTAACTAGCGAGGCTTCTTTGCTTGCCATTTCCATTTTTCTATGAGCGCTTGTGCATCTATCCCACTTCTGACAAATTGTAGGACAAAAATACCCATCTATCGTCAATTTTTAGAATATATTAGCATGAATTATTCTACAATGACCAATTACTTGACAAATATTGACAAACTGACAACTAATAACAACTGACTAAAATAAACACAATTCGTTGCTATGGATTACATAAATAATCATTGATATAGTGATATCAATGGTCGGTGTCAACATTGGTTTCAACCCTTTCAACTCCATTGACACTTTCCACTCCGGAACTGTTCGGAACAGGCGAAATATTGCACAGCAAATTGATGACGTTCTTGGAGCGTTCTACATTTGTGTCACGGGCTCTCGTAGTATAAAGTCAAGCTACTTGTCCACTGTGCAAACCCACTTGCCTTACTTCACTACTTGACGCTAGTCGTTACTTGACTTGACCGGAACTATTTACTTGACTTTACCACTCTACATCACCGTTCACTTGGCCCGTGTAAACTCCATAATGCCTTGTTTACACGGGTCAAGTTGCGGGTCAAGTAACTTGCCTTCGCACTTGACTGGTAATGTTCTACTTGACTTGACTCACCGACAAGAAAAGCAAACGTGTTTTCGCAGGTAGTTCAGTAGGGGTGCAAGTCGATTCACCATGGCGGAAAATCGCATTGTGTACTTGCCCCGCTTAACTTGACCCATTTGTTTACATTGGTGAAATAAACGGTCAAGTAGAAGCAAGTGATAAAAGTTATAGTGGGGGTGACAGTAAAGTCAAGCTACTTGTCCACTGTGCAAACCCACTTGCCTTACTTCACTACTTGACGCTAGTCGTTTCTTGACTTGACCGGAACTATTTACTTGACTTTACCACTCTACATCACCGTTCACTTGGCCCGTGTAAACTCCATAAAGCCTTGTTTACACGAGTCAAGTTGCGGGTCAAGTAACTTGCCTTCGCACTTGACTGGTAATGTTCTGCTTGACTTGACTCACCAACAAGAAAAGCAAATGCGCAACTATAAAACTTATATTAAGTTACAGAAAAACTGTATGAATTTGACACACGTTGCACGTGTGGTGTAGCGGCCGCGAAAGCTCATTTCGCGGACGGTTGCACACAAAAAAATACTTGACTTTACCACTCTACATGACCGTTTACTTAACCCGTGTAAACTCCGCTTAAGTGATAAATTAGGCGCCAGTATGCCAATAATCAGTTAGTGGTAAATTGATTGCGGCGGTTAATAATTTGATAATCAATGGAACACGAGTGAGAAAGGTGTTGTAACGATAGTAAGAAAGTGAGTAGTAAGAGTAGTCTCACTTATCTAGACCCCGGATACGTAACAATTGATATCAGAAATGGAAGTGAGTGAAGAGTCTACAGTGAAAACGAGACAACGGAGAGCCGAAATGAACCAGATTCTCGAATTAAGGAACAAGCACTAAAAGACAAACAGAAAGAACGGAAATGAGATAGAAACGGTCAAAGACAAAATTAAGACAGTCCAAGAAAATGTTGAAGGCTAAATTGGGACGGTTCGCAGAGAGTTTGAGAAGTATACGGAAATGGATTCGCCATGAGCTCAACAACTGGGATATGGAAACAGTTATCTTAGTCAAATCAAAGACTGCAAAATAAACGTCCAATACTACATCGATGGAGTAAGATGCGATACTGCACGAAGCCCTGAGAACTAGTGGGATAAGAACCTAACGGGAATCGTTGTTGATGCTGTAATGATCTGCGAGAATAGACCCGTAATTTACAATGTCTTTACTGTAAAAATTAAATATAATCAAATAATCAAAAACTGAACTGAATTTCCGGTATTCCAAATCAGTATCGATAAATTGAAAATGAAACAAATTAGCGTTGACCCCAAATTAAATTAAAATATTTATATACGTTGAAATTTTATTATTTAGTCACCAAGCGTGATGTCATCTCGTAAATCAAATCAATGAACTTATTAAAAGCGAGGCCAAAGTAATTAAATAGGTGATTTATGGTCACACGTGTTCGGTATTCTTTGGGTTTTATGTCCAATTCTTACAACCAAATCTGTTGACCCCGATAAACCAGGAAATTGCGACATAATTATTCGATTTTAAACAAATAAAAGAGGAAGGTTATTGAATGATGAAATTTAGAATTTTTGGGGGAACGCAACATATAAATACAGCGGTTTTAGAAGTTGAGGGGCAGTGATCAGTTGAGTTGTTAGTTCAGCCCAGTTCAGTTTCAAGTCTACAGTACCTAACGAGACAGTCCGGATAAATTCGCGAGAGTTTTTTTTATCCTTGCCTCGGGGAAAACGCGTTTGATCGAATCTTTGTGAAAGTACACAAAATTGTGAAAGAAAGAACATTTGAAGTCATTCAACATTATGTGCGAGCTCTAAGTAATCAAAAGAATTAAATAAGATTAGTTTGGTGTTTTATAGACAAAATATAAGTACTCTTTTGTGACAAGTTTTATTTTTAACTATAAATGATGAATGAGTATAAAGTGAATTAACTTTGGAACTTTATTGAGTAAATATTAATAACTCGAGTGTTTTGACTATGGAACATTATTGTATAACTTTAATTGCCTTCGAGTAAAATGACATTTTAATTAATTTTGCAAGGAATTTGAAAAGTGGAAATTATAATGCTCTCAACAATCATCGATTTTGAGTATGAATTATTAAAGATTTTTGAATTGGATTGTCCAGTGGAAGTTTAAGGGCTATAGTAACTAACTAAGGAATTTAAATAATTGTGTATGTTGACTAGGAATTCGAAAATGGTATTGTTCTGTTCAAATTGATCCTTAGTAAAGACAACCATAAAACGTTATGGGTAGTTTTGAAAAGAAACTTGATGTTCATGAAATAAGATCGTTGTTCTAAAGCATTTAAAAGTATTGGAAAAGTTTTGTTTGAAAATTGTTGTGCATGAAATAACATTGATGACCTTAAGTGCTGAAATTTTGAATTAGGGTTTTTTATGTAGAAATTATTGTAAGATTTTTATAAAAATATACTTAGTATTACCTATATACTTAATCCAGTGAGTCGGATTACGACTTAAATAATTATTTTGCATAAGCATTCAATAAAGGAATTTTAAAGAATTTATAGATATAGGTGAAGGGTAGTTTTAATACGAATGTGAATCGGAAGTGTTGTAATGTATAAACTTATAGGTTATTAAGAATAGTAGAAGTAGGGCGTTTTTTTTATAGGGATATTTCCTGGTACGTAATAATGAAATTTGAACAGATGTGAAATAATTTGAATTGGGAAAAATAGAAGTGACTGTCGGAATAGAAAGATATTTGCTTATTTAAAATTTTGGTTTAAGTACATATAATAAAATATAATTCAGTAAACCTCAATAGTTTGTTTCTCTCTTTTGCGAATAGACCCCTCCACAATTTTATAGGTAGCAGCTCAAGGAAATAAGCACCATCAATATACCGCTCGCCATTTACCATCTAACTAATTGAATAGAGTACTTGAGGCGTTTTTTTACAATGCACTGAATTGACGAGGCTGTCAAAATCGCCTGGCAGATCAGAAAGAGCAAAATAGAAGAATTCAACTAGATGCGATACTGCAGGAATCCTGCGTAAATCTTGATCGCGATTTAAGATCTAGAAGACCAAAAAAGTGTTACAGCTACGCCAGAGAACATATAAGCAGAAAATAAATTGTAGACGACGCTACCGTTCAGAAGACTTTGATGCGTAGGAACAAGAGGCTCCAGACATCAGGTAAATGCCACCACTGAGTCCCAAGCCTCCAAATTACGGGTGTTCCATATCAAAAGGAATTATAGAAGTCCCGTTGTCCAAACCCTCAACAACAAAAAATGACGCAGAGACATCAAGATCAGTGTAACGCCATGTGACCGCTTCTAGAAACAGTGACGTTGAGAATATGCAGCCAGTGTAAATAGGGGAATTGTTAGATGAAGTTAAGCAAAAGCGATAGGTGATTAGTGTATTTCGTAAAGTCAACCAATTCAATGACAGTTATTATTATTAGTGAAGAGAGTTTCAGTAGACCGGCGGAATTATTGACAAGTTGATGTCAGAAGTGGGATAAACAGGTGCTAATTTTCCTTATGGCTTATATAGAAGCTCTCAGCACGTGTCAAACGCCAATCCATCAATGCTGTTAACTGAAAGAGAAATGAAACTCGCTGTAGATCATGTTTGGTATATCATCTGCCAGAGAAGATGAAGCTGCACGTTCAGTATACGTAGTCTATGCCATTATAGGGGATAAACAGAGAACAACATAGGAGATTCGATTTAACCAACTGAGATGTTCCATAAATGGACGTAAACAAAATATCGACCGGCAGCAACAAATCAAATTAAAAATTTATTTTTTCTATTTGCTGAAACGTTTAGGAACTTTTAAAAAATATATACATTAGGGCATAAATAATCAAATATTTCTATATATTGATAGGTACTTCATCAAAAGGGTAGATACGTTTTAAAGTTTTTTTGATTTCTCTCAATATGCACAAACTTAGAAGTCAAGCCGGAACATCTGCCCCCATATCTAGGATCATGGTTATGTGTTCCATTAACACATACTCCACTCCCTGTAGTGTATGCTCGACATCTGCACTTCGTATTCTGATACGATCCGCACACCCATGTAGTTTTTTGATCTCTCTTCCTGGCAATATTAAAATCATGCTCATCGATGATGATTTTTGGGTGCTTGGTTCCATAGTCGAAGTAAACTAAATCTGAAATAATTATGTATGGTACATAACATATCACATTCAACAAGGTATCAAACACACTTTTATATGTAGGTTATATGTCATTTAATACAATTCACCTTTCCACGCGGGCTACGACTCTATAACGAGAATAGAGATAATTTCTCTATCTCTATTGGCGTCCCCTCTCTATTTATTTCGGAAAGAGAGAAGAAGATCGCAAGTGCCATAGCGATGGGGATAACGATCTCTATCCATTACAAAGTTCC